CTGAGGCTTGTTTGGGTCATATGTACCACCTCCCCAAGTGTGGTTAAGTAAAAAGCAGTGGGCTCTGAGGAAGTGGAACACTCCCTGGAAGGTCAGAGGGCCTGCTATAGGAAAAGATCTTTGGCCCTGGAGGCAAAGTCTTGGCCAATTGGCTGGGTGACCTTGGACATATCACTGTCCCTTTCTGGGCCTCAGCAACCCATTGATAAACTGAGAACATCCGGCTCGATTCCCAGGAGCCCTAAGAGTTAGAGGGGCTTCCCAGGTGGTGCTAGTGGTAAAGGCTTCACCTGCCAACGCGAGAGACTCAGGAGACCCAGGTACGGGTTCAATACCTGGGTCGAGAACATCCTCTCGAGTAGAAAATGGCAACCCACTCCAGTATTCTTGCCTGGGGAATTCCATGGACAGAGGAGCCTGGCGGGCTACAGTCCATAGGGCGGCAAAGAGTCAGACACGACTGAGCATCAGAGCCACAAGCCAGTTAATGCCAAATAATTCCCTGAGGTGGTTATTAACTGTATTCACACCAGCAATGAATGAGAGAGGTGAGAGATGAGTTTGTGAAAAAGACTGATTAATGATATCCCCACCAACATTTTTCAGAGGAGGATGAGTCTCCCCACCTCCCATTTTTAATCTCTTATTAAAGTTACCTAGGTTAGAATACTTACCTCACTCATCCCATCTGTAAAATAGAGTTGATAATAACCTAAAGTAGTTGAACAGGTTAAACGGGATAATGTGTTTAAAGTCCTTGGCATAGTGCCTAGCACAAAAGTAGGTGCTTGGTCAGTCTCTGATCAAGCTAGTTCCTCACAAAGTACAAGAATGAGAAAGCTATGGTCTTCACTGTATCCCAAGTTTGAGGGATGGGTGGGATGGGGTTGATGGGACAGTAGAGAATACCTGCGCAGCAAAAGGAGCCTATTTTCAGAAACTGTTCTATTTTCACTCTGCTCTTGTCAAGGAACTCCCCACCCCACCCTTGCCCCCAGGCTCAGAGATCAGGACCCAAGGTACAGTGTGTAATGATTGTGGGTTTTAGAGTAGGGAAATTAGAGTTGACATCCCAGCATCACAAGCTCACTAGCTGTGTAGACTTGGGCCAATTCCCTTCTCTTGGCTGAGCCTTGATTTCCTCTCCTGTAAAATGGGGCTAATGATCTCTCTACAGGCTTCCCAGGTGGCGCTAGTGGTAAAGAACCTGCCTGCAAACGCAAGCGACAGAAGAGACTGGGTTCAGTCTCTGGGTTGGGAAGATCCCCTGGAGGAGGGCATGGCAAGCCACTCCAGTATTCTTGCTTGGAGAATCCCAGGTCGGACAGAGGAGCCTGGCGGGCTACAGCTCATAGGGTCGCACAGAGTCGGACATGATTGAAGCAACTTAGCACACTCGCATGCACACACAATCTCTCTACAGGTTCTACTGTAGAAGGAGACAAAAACAGATGAAAGTCTGTGTAAGGGGGAAAGCTCTGATGAGTGTAAGGTAGTGGCCTGTAAATGTTGATACTGGGTTTGATCAACCCAAATGTTGGGCTGAGGACAGCACTCCATGAAGAAGAAAGGAAGGAACTAAGAGCTGAGTTTGGGCAAAAGACAGAGAGAGCTGAAAGCTGTTATTTAATAAACAGGAAATGCATTTTCCATTTTAAAAATAAGAAGCAAAAAGCAAGAACACAGCTGTATCAAACTCTGGTGATTGAATAATCAAAAAATCCAGCTGGTGGTTGAGCAGTGAAAAGCAAGAGGGTGGTCTTCATTCACAGGACTGCCAGGTGAACTGTGTTCCATTGATTTAGAAAGGCTGCAGGTGATAGGGTGGGGAGACATGAGGGGAGCAGGGCATAAACCCAGCTTGGTGAGGTAGAAAGAATAGGACTTTGGAGGCAAAAAAACACACATATTTGAATTACAACTCTGCAATTTACAAACTGTGACCCCGTGGGCAAGTCATCTGACCTCTTTGAAACATGGTTTTCACATCTGTAAGATGGGCGATAATAATACCTACCTCCCTGGGGTAGTTTGGAAAATTAGACAAGATAGTGCATGTAAAGTTCCAAACATCTGGATCTTGTCTGGCATCAAGTAGGGACTTCCCTTCCTCAGCACAGGGATAAGGAGAAGAAGGAAGGTGGAGATGGAGTTGGCTCTATCATTCACTCACTAGGTATGTGGGCCTTAGTCTCCACATCTGTAAAATAGATTTTCATAAGATCTATACACCACCTGGTTATTATGAGTAGCAAATGAAATTGTCTATTTAGAATTAATGCATTCCTTTTAATGACAGTATTATTTTTCATTCCTCCTATGTTGATGGACATTTAGTTTATTTCCAATGTGACAAATTGTCATGGTAGCCATCTTTACAAGTCCTCTCCTAGTACAACTGTGTCTCTAAGGCAGATAATTAGAAGTGGAATCACTAATAGGCTATATACATTTTCAGTTTAAATGGATAGTGCCAAAATGCTCTACAAGTGGTTTTGCCAATTTATCTTTATCAGTGGTATACGAGATTACCCATTCCCCCATGTAACCGTCTCACTATCAGTGTGATCCATTTTTTATTTTTGCCAATGTAATTGATTTTTAAATCATTTTTTGAAAAGGTATATCATTCTTAAATTGCATTCTCCTGATTATTAGTAAGGTAGAGCATCTTTTCATGTGTGTTGGGCATATGTATTTTTTTGGTGGATTATGTTTTTCTCATGTGTTTAAAGGTGCACTTATATATCCTGGATGTCAATCTTGTCTCTATTTTATATACAGTTGATTCCCATTATTTACTGTGCATGCACGCTCAGCCACTAAGTCATGTCCAAGTGTTTGTGACCCCATGGACTATAGCCTGCCAGGCTCCTCTGTCCATGGATTTCCCAGGCAAGAATACTATAGAGGGTTGCCACTTCCTTCTCCAGGGGATGTTCCCAACCCAGGGATCAAACCTGCATTTCCTGCTTGGCAGGCAGATTCTTTACCACTGAGCCATGAGGAAAGGGAAAATGAAAGTTGCTCAGTCGTGTCCAACTCTTTGCGACCCCATGGACTATACAGTCCATGGGATTCTCCAGGCCAGAATTCTGGAGTGGGTGGCCGTTCCCTTCTCCAGGGGATCTTCCCAACCCATGAATTGAACCCAGGTCTCCGGCATTGCGGGTGGATTCTCTACCGGCTGAGCCACCAGGGAAGCCCATTATTCACTGTTACTTTGTTCTATTAAGTTACCATTAACACTGAATTAGCAAATACTGAACCATTGCTCCTTCAGTTCAGTTCAGTTCAGTCGCTCAGTCGTGTCTGACTCTTTGCGACCCCATGAATCGAAGCATGCCAGGCCTCCCTGTCCATTACCATCTCCATGAAGTGATGGGACCAGATGCCATGATCTTAGTTCTCTGAATGTTGAGCTTTAAGCCAACTTTTTCACTCTCCTTTTTCACTTTCATCAAGAGGCTTTTTAGTTCCTCTACACTTTCTGCCATAAGGGTGGTTTAGGGAAATACAAATGTAGGTTCCTGTGAGCCTCTGGTCACATTTTTGTCAACCCATCAATATATAACTTTGCTTTGTGTATGTTTCTGCTTAAAGATACCTTATTTAATATATATTAATAATTGATAACATTTAACTCATGGCCAACAGCACTATAACTCCTGTCTGAACAAAGTGTATTGAACACATGTATTTTTCCATAAGGCACATGACAGCCTTTTTATGTTGAGGAATACTAGACAGCACTTCAATGTTATATTTGGGTGCCATTTTCAACAGTGAAATTGCCAATAAAAGCACAAAAATGCAAAAATGTGACACTAAAAATACCATGAAAAGGACACTTGTTGATAGTATGAAAGCTGAAATAAAAAGGCAAGCTTGGCCCTGTGCAGCCTCAGCTGGGCAACCTCAGTGTGACAGGGCAACTCAAAGCTTTTGCTGCTCTGTGCACATCCATGTCTGCAGATGACCTCAGAAAACTGAAAGTATTGATTTTTGTGGTTACAAATTAATTCTAGCAAGTAGGCAAATTCACCAATATGGAATCTGCAAATAATGAGGGTTGACTGTGCATCTGTATTTACAATATCTTTGCAGTCCACCACTTGTTTTTTTAACTTTATACATAGTCTCTTTTGTGTTATTTGCATTAGTTGGAGGCAAATTTGCTAATATTTCTCTTATTTTAAAAATTAAATATTTTATTCATGTTACTATATTTTAATTAGTCTCTTTCTGGAGTCTTTTTCTATTCTAAGGTTTCTTAACATCAATACTATTGACATTCTAGGTCAGATAACCCTTTTTTTGTTTTGTTTTGACCTTGTTATACAGCCTGTGGGACCTTCCTTAACCAGAGATAGAATCTGTGCCCCCTGACCTGGAAGCACAGAGTCTTAACTGCTGAACCACCAGGGAAGTTCTGGGTCAGATAACTCTATCATAGGGTACTGTCCTCTATATCGGAGAAGGCAATGGTACCCCACTCCAGTACTTTTGCCTGGAAAATCCCATGGATGGAGGAGCCTGGTAGGCTGCAGTCCATGGGGTCGCTAAGAGTCAGACACGACTGAGCAACTTCCCTTTCACTTTTCACTTTCATGCATTGGAGAGGGAAATGGCAACCCACTCCAGTGTTCTTGCCTGGAGAATCTCAGGGACAGAGGAGCCTGGTGGGCTGCCATCTATGGGGTTGCACAGAGTCAGACACGACTGAAGTGACTTAGCAGCAGCAGCAGTCCTCTAAATTGTAGGATGTTTAGTAATATCTTTCTGTTACAAACATAGAATTATTTTGATTATCAATGAGCACATGAAGAGTTTGTGATGGAAATGTTCATATCATGAACCTCCTGCAAAATGTGCTGGTGCTTCTTAATATTCCAGAAACACACGTGAGGCAAATATTCCAAACATCATTTCCAAATATCTCCCCTCTGAAAAGGTGCTAGCTTGCTGAATACAAGGAAATCATGCGGCCCCTTTCTTACCTGTAGTCTGTAAGTTTAAGCCTGGGTCCAACTATGTGTGGGGTTTTGAGCTGATGAACAGGTAACAAAGCACAGAGGCAGTGACAATGAAGGCCAGGAGGACCACTGCTGCTATGGACAGGCCCACAAGAGCACCAATACTGGGGACAGAAAACCACAAGGGAGCAGAGTGTCAGGAAAGGACGTGGAAAGCAGCATGTTACAGGAGAAATATCGTAGGTGTTATAGGAATCAGCCAGCCTTAACTTTTGTTCTGGCTCTACTTCCCTTAAACACACTTTCGGGGCCTAAGCCTGGGAAAGAGCACCAGCTATGTGGCAAGTCCTCACCACATACATAACTTGACATGGCTCAGTGCCACCATGTAGTTGAGAATTTGTGTTCCCTTTCTTCTCCTCTCCTTTCCTCAACCTGCTGCCACCCCAAGAAGCTAGAGATGATCTTTTTCAATAATTATTTTTATTTGTGTATAGTTCATTTGGCTGCTCCAGGTCTTAGTTATGGCATGTGAACTCTTAACTGTGGTATGAGGGATCTGGTTCCCCAACCAAAGAGCAAACCTGGGCCCCCTGCATTGGGAGAGCAGAGTCTTAGCCACTGGACCACCAGAGAAGTCCCTAAAGATGATCTGAAAGAGCCCTCCCCATTTCTTACAAATCAAGACACACAGCAAGCCTCAATTTAATATCAACTGTTCTTCCACCCTCAAGGTAATTTCTGACCCAGTCTCTAGTGGGTCATCACGTCAGTGTGGACTCCACATCTAGAACCACTTTCCTGCTTCTGGTCCCTCACCCCTCAACCTCATTGCCTCTGCCCCAAGTCAGGCCCTGGTCATCTGGTCTCCAGACTACTACCTTCTGGCTTTTTCAGGGAGCCACTGTCTTTCTGTTTCACATGATCCCTCCCATCATCTCCCCACATCAGAATTTTACCCATCCCTGAAGGCCCGTCTCAATGTCTCCTCCTCAATGCTTTCCTTGGTCTTCTTTCTCTTCCTTTTCTTCTCCCAGTCCAGGCCTACCCAGCCAGGATACGTTACTCGGGGTCATTAGCACTTTCCACTTGGTTAGGGAGTCCAGTGTGGTAGGGAAAGAGCAAAGAGCTTTGAAACTCTCACAGACCCACCTGGTAAATTTAGGACCCAGATCTGTAACTAACTTGATATGACATCTTGATGAAATTATTAAGTCTGTTGAGTCTCAGCTTCTTTGCCTGAAAAGTGAGAATGATCAAAACATAGCACATCTCAGGTGGTGGTGAGAGTGAATGATATCTATAATATTCTTGGCACATAGTAGTTCAACATATTCCTCATGTGTTCTTTGTAGGCATACTGAGACCATGTTTAACTGGCTCTGTTCTCCCCTTGTACAAGCCCTAGCACATAGTATGCACTTAGCAATGATTATTGAGTGCCTAATTTGTGTCAGACAGTGTGGGATGTTCTCCCAGTGGTAGGACCAGGCTTGGCTGTGTGCCCCTTCTGCAGCTTTTCTGCCTTCCCTAGCCCAACCCTGACCCCAGCCTCAGATTCCTGTCTGCCATTTCGGCTGGATTTCACTCCCAGCTAGCTGATGGCTATCTTCCACTAAACAGAAACACCTTAGAGCTTTGGAGAGTCTGCTTCCCCAGGGCTAAATAAATTATTGGCTATCTCTACATTGGAATAGTATAGAACCATTAAAAACATGTTTTCAAATAAAATTTAAGATCAAGGATAAATTCTGATGAGTTCATGTGAAGTGAAAAAGGTAGGACCCACTAGTAAATATATAGTGTAGCCCTAACTTAAATACATGAATATAACATGTACACATATAACATAACAAGGTGAGGTTGGATGGAAATACACTAAATGCTAATGGGCTGTCTCTGAGTATAGCACAGACTATGGATGTCCTGTCGTGTCCCACTGGATCTTACAATTCTGGAATATTCTGGCCAGGGTTTCAATGCCAGCATATGTATCTCTTTGCCTGAAAGTTTTCTTGGGCCCAGAAGAATCTCTGCACACTGAACAGGTCAAAAGTATAGGAAAATGGATGCCTCCCCTCTCCCTCCAGCATATAGCCAATGACTAAAAGAAACTGATAAGTAAATACCCAGCTTCCTGGCCCTCAGGTGGGATGACTCTGAGATGTATGTTCTAACTACAGTGGCTGGTACAGGATGGCAGTTTAAACGCTGGCGGCCCTTGGTGGTGACTTGCTTGGTAGCACACCATCATTAGCTCCTTCCCTTTCTCATCTCACTTCCCCACCCTGTACCAGTATTTTCTAGGCTCCTAGGTCATGTAAATTGCTTGCCTTAAAATCCTTTGTTTCCCAGTCTTCTAGGGAACCCATGCTAAGACACTGGGGATCTCCCATGATTGCTTTTTTTTCTGTTTCTCCTGTCCTTTCTATTTTTTTTCCCACACTGAGCATGTAGTACTTTCTAGTTCTTCAGTATTAGTTTAATAGTTTTTAGTTTAACATTTTAATTAAATATTATTTCCTTTTTTTAGATCTACTCACTGTTTATAAGGCTGTTATCTGTGGCTCAGATCATGAACTCCTTATTGCCAAATTCCAACTTCAATTGAAGAAAGTAGAGAAAACCACTAAACCATTCATGTATGACCTAAATTAAATCTCTTACAACTATACAGTGGAAGTGACAAATAGATTCAAGGGATTAGATCTGATAGACAGAATGCCTGAAGAACTATGGATGGAGGTTCATGACATTGTACAGGAGGCAGTGATTAAGACTATTCCCCACCCCACCCCACCCCCCAAAAAAAAAGACCATCCCCAAGAAAAAGAATGTAAAAAGGCAAAATGGCTGTCTGAGGAGGCCTTACAAACAGCTATGAAAAGAAGAGAAGCGAAAGGCAAAGGAGGAAAGGAAAGATATATCCATTTGAATGCAGAGTTCCAAAGAATAGCAAGGAGAGATAAGAAAGCCTTCCTCAGTCATCAATGCAAAGAAATAGAGGAAAACAATAGAATGGGAAAGACTGGAGATCTTAGAAAATTAGATACCAAGGGAACATTTCATGTAAAGATGGGCACAATAAAGGACAGAAATGGTATGGACATAACAGAAGCAGAAGATATTAAGAAGAGGTGGCAAGAATACACAGAAGAACTGTACAAAAAAGATCTTCATGACTCAGATAATCACGATGTTGTGATCACTCACGTAAAGCCAGACATCCTGGAACGCGAAGTCAAGTGGGCCTTAGGAAGTGTCACTACAAACAAAGCTAGTGAAGGTGATGGAATTCCAGTTGAGCTATTTCAAATCCTAAAAGATGATGCTGTGAAAGTGCTGCAGTCAACATGTCAGCAAATTTGGAAAATTCAGCAGTGGCCACAGGACTGGAAAAGGTCAGTTTTCATTCCAATCCCAAAGAAAGGCAATGCCAAAGAATGCTCAAACTACCACACAATTGCACTCATCTCACATNAATCATTGCAGATGGTGACTGCAGCCAAGAAATTAAAAGATGCTTGCTCCTTGGAAGAAAAGCTATGACAAACCTAGACAGCTTATTAAAAAGCAGAGACATCACTTTGCCAACAAAGGTCCATATAGTCAAAGCTATGGTTTTTCCAGTAGTCATGTATGGATGTAAGAGTTGGACTATAAAGAAAGCTGAGCACCAAAGAATTGATGCTTTTGTACTGTGGTGTTGGAGAAGACTCTTGAGAGTCCCTTGGACTGCAAGGGGATCCAACCAGCCCATCCTAAAGGAGATCAGTCCTGAATATTCATTGGAAGGACTGATGCTGAAGCTCCAACACTTTGGCCACTGGATATGAAGAACTGACCCATTTGAAAAGACCCCGATGCTGGGAAAGATTGAAGATGGGAGAAGGGGATAACAGAGGAGGAGATGGTTGGATGGCATCACTGACTCAATGGACATGAGTGTGAGTAAACTCTGGGAGCTGGTGGTAGACACAGGGAGGCCTGGTGTGCTGCAGTCCCTGGGGTCACAAAGAATCAGACATGACTGAGCGACTGAACTGACTGACTGACTGATCTGGAAGATTTGTGCTCAAGTTGGGACCACACCCTTTACAAGGGACATCTATGGGTACCTGGCTGGAAAAAGCCTCTAAAAGTAGGATCCTTTGAGGAGTGGGTGAGAGAGTTGGGGGCATGCATTCCAGATCAGCAGACAGTAGGCATTGCACTGAACGTCTTCCTGGGGACAGGGGAACCAGCTTCAAGGACAGAGCTGGGAACAACAAGGGAGAGTCCAAGGGGGCAAAATCTGTCCTTAGTACAAGAGGAACTCCAGGGAGTTCCCTGGTGGTCTAATGGTGAGGATTCTGGGCTTTTGCTGCCATTGCCTGGGTTCAATACCTGGTCAGGGAAAGGAGATCTCACATACCATATGATGTGACCAAAAAAAAAAAAGTTCAAAAAATGAACTTCAAATGATCAGAGTTGTCCCGTGGTGAATGTACTGCCTCAAGAGGTGGTGAGTTTTTTTATTATCAGACAGGTTTGCACAAGACCTGGATGAATCCACCTTTCAATGAAGTTAAAGATTCTTGCTGATAGTGGGTAACTGGACTGAAGAGCCACTAGCCTTCCAGAATTTCACAGACCTATGACTCTGAAAGATAGGTAACCCACTGTGACTTCTGGGAAAGAACTGAAGGGGTGAGTTAACATTTGTTAAGGTTTTTGAGTCAGACAGTTTTAAGTTTGAATCCTGGCTCTCTCACATATAAGCTGAAAACTCCTTCACCTTTTGATCTTCATTTTCCTTCATTCATAAAAGTCACTATCTCACCAGGTGCCATACAGATTAAATGAGATAATGTACCTACAGTGCCTGACCGCCAGTTCTGCCCTTCAGCTGCAGCCCTTGGGCTCACATCTTGATCAAAAACAGAACTACTGATAACGGGTGTTTGGAAAGACCAGACATGTGATAACACCAGCTGCTTCTCCACAGGGAGTCTTCATTTCCTGAGACATGCTTTTAAAGACAGCAATTCTCCTCTAGCACTATCCAAGGAAAGTGTTTACCTGCAAATTTTTAAAGGCCAGTTTTCATGAAAAGGGCCAAAGGGAGTCCAGAGCAAAACAAGGTCTCCACCCTGCAATGGTGGGGCTCGAGAGGAACATGCCA